CATTCATTATACATAAAAACATCTGGAAGGCCCTTGTGGTGAGAAGAGTTCTGAGCTCCATTATAACAGCAGAGCCCTCGGATGACAGAGATGAATAGAAGTTTATGGGCCCACCCTGGTCCTCTCTGCTGGAATCCCTCATACCACCACAGGCTAAACCCGGGGAAGCGGGTGCAGAGTGGTCTTCATTAAAGATAGTCCTTCCCCACAAGCTCTCAAGGTCAAACCAGGACAAGTAAGTCTGACTATGTGCCTCGCAGCAATGGTTTGGTTCTAAATGGTTTTCACACCAAGGCAAAAAGGAGTGTAGTTTATTCCCAAAGTATATTTACAAGAACAATATATTACATATACAGTGCGAAAGTATTCGGCCCCCTTGAACCTTTCAACATTTTGCCATATTTCAGGTTTCAAACATAAAGATATAAAATTAAAATTTTTTGTCATGAATCAACAACAAGTGGGACACAATCGTGAAGTGGAATGAAATTTGTTGGATAATTTAAACTTTTTTAACAAATAAAAAACTGAAAAGTGGGGCGTGCAATATTATTCGGCCCCTTTACTGTCAGTGCAGCAAACTCACTCCAGAAGTTCAGTGAGGATCTTTGAATGATCCAATGTTGTCCTAAATGACTGATGATGATAAATAGAATGCACCTGTGTGTAATCAAGTCTCCGTATAAATGCACCTGCTCTTTGATAGTCTCAGGGTTCTGTTTAAAGCGCAGAGAGAACCATGAAGACAAAGGAACACACCAGGCAGGTCCGAGATACTGTTGTGGAGAAGTTTAAAGCCGGATTTGGATACAAAAAGATTTCCCAAGCTTTAAACATCTCAAGGAGCACTGTGCAAGCAATTATATTGAAATGGAAGGAGTATCAGACCACTGCAAATCTACCAAGACCTGGCCGTCCCTCCAAACTTTCATCTCAAACAAGGAGAAGACTGATCAGAGATGCAGCCAAGAGGCCCATGATCACTCTGGATAAACTGCAGATAACTACAGCTGAGGTGGGAGAGTCTGTCCATAGGACAACAATCAGTCGTGCACTGCACAAATCTGGCCTTTATGGAAGAGTGGCCATTTCTCAAAGATATCCAATAAAAGTCTCTTAAAGTTTGCCACAAGTCACCTGGGATACACACCAAACATGTGGAAGAAGGTGCTCTGGTCAGATGAAACCAAAATCAAACTTTTTGGCCACAATGTAAAACGATATGTTTGGTATAAAAGCAACACAGCTCATCACCCTGAACACACCATCCCCACCTCAGCTGTAGTTATCTGCAGTTCAAACTTGCAGTTTAAACTTCTCCACAACAGTATCTCGGACCTGCCTGGTGTGTTCCTTTGTCTTCATGGTTCTCTCTGCGCTTTAAACAGAACCCTGAGACTATCAAAGAGCAGGTGCATTTATACGGAGACTTGATTACACACAGGTGCATTCTATTTATCATCATCAGTCATTTAGGACAACATTGGATCATTCAAAGATCCTCACTGAACTTCTGGAGTGAGTTTGCTGCACTGCTCCACATGTGTACTTTTTCCTTTACACAATGCAAGAGCAACTCTATCTCCAGAGTTCATTATCTTGTTATTGTATTATCTATTATCTTAAAGAATAGATCTTGTTTGATGTTTACATAACCTGAGTGCTCTTGTTTCTGCTTCTATTCTGCTGTAATGTGCAACAACAACAACTTATTCGTGTATAGCCCTAAATCACGACAGAAGTCATCTCAGAGGACTTAACAAAACCATTGAAATCGCCAACACAGATAATCAACAGTTAAAACACAAAATATACACATATGTATTGGTCAATAGGCAGAGACCAATGTCCATGAACGTTGATAAATGTCCATACATGTTGTAGAATGTTAAAGTGTCCTGGATCATCACCACAGTCCTTATAGTTGGACACTAACTGTCCAACAGACCCTCCTGCATCGGCAAGGAAAAACTCACAAAAACCCAGTAGGAAAAAGTGAGAAACCTCAGGGAGACCCACATTTGAGAAAGGGATCCGCTCCCACGGACGGGCTATAGATCCAGAACCTAAGCTACAGAATGTGGACCAGTGGCCACAGAACGTGGACAGGTCCGGTGCAGGACTGAAGCGCTCCCTGGCGGGTCGGGCAGGGCAGTCCGCAGATGAAGGTGGAGGAGCCCAGGTTCAGAGGTCCCGTTGTCGCGCCATGAAACAGACAATGGGACAATGGGTGAATAGCAATGAACAGACTACAGTCAAAATCTTAATAATGCAGACAGAGTAGGAAGGAGGAGAGGATAGTGCTCAAGTTACTATACTTCTCTTATCTTTATTTCAAGCTTAAAAATAGGAGTCAATTATTGAAAAAAACACTTATAACAATAATACATTATAAATTTCTTAATTTTAAATGCAATGCAGAATTTTTTTTTTTTTTTTTACCTAAAATGCACATCCACGGCAGGGTATTATTATTTATCTGACTAATCCGTCCGTCAGGCACCTCTAAAGGCCATATCATATCAAATACTTCTGACAGTGTAATACATAAATAAAACAATAACATAAGAGTATCTAACTTAACTAGCATTACTTGTTTATACAAAATTAAAGGCAGTTGTTGATGGCAAGTCAATTATTTTTGCTCTCCCTGCCCCCCTCCCCAACCTCCCACTTTTCCAATTTCGTCTCCTGACAAACTATGGTATATTAATTTAGAGTTATGTTTAGCTTAGGATGAAGAGTGAATACTGTATATTGAGTAATACAATTAAGAAATAAAAAACAAAACACAGTGGGCAACAGTGGCTCAGTTGAGAGCATGGGCTTCTGGGCCTGAAGGTCATGGGTCCGATCCCCCCACGAGACTTACTCCAAATGCTCCCACTCATGTCTACTATCATTGCGTCCTTGGGCAAGACACTTAATCCCACGTTGCCTGAAGCCCCGCTGAAGGACCAAGGCTTTGTCACCACTGACGGAGCAGCCATCTTCCGTGGACCCACCACCTGCAGGAAGTTCAGCGAGGGACTGGTGCTATGAGCATTGGGTGCAGCTCTGACTGTCAACCCCCTGACTCAGAAATTGATTAAAAAAGGGGTAGAAAGGGAATGAATGAAAACACAGATTATACGTGCCATCAATAACTAGATATCATTGGGTGTAAACAAGAAATTATGCAAGTTTGTTTATTCATTCATTTTCTACCCCTTTAGTAGTCAATTTCTGGGTCAGGGGGGTAGCAATGTGAGCTGCCACCCAATGCTCATAGCACCAGTCCTCCGATGATCCTCCGGCAGGTGGTGGGTACACAGGAAGATGGCTGCTCCGACAACGGTGACACAGCCTTGGTCTTTCAGCGGGGGCTTCGGGCAACATGGGTTTAAGTGTCTTGCCCAAGGACACAACGACAGCAGACATGAGTGGGAGGTCTTGTGGTGGACTCGAACCCTCAACCTTCAGGCCCAAATGCCAATGCTTTTACTCTTATGTCATTGTTTCTATGTATTACACTGTCAGAAGTATCTAGTATGTTTTGCAGTTTGCATAATAGTGACTAATTTGACCAAATTTCTGAACTTGTGGTTTGTTTAAGTCTCATAAATACCTGTACTTTACTAACAAGAACCATTGCTCTCAGAACATCACACACCTCCATTGCACAGCTGCATTTCCGAAAAGTACTTATTAGTGCAGTTTTCTTGGACATAGCTGTTGAACAATATAAAGTCAAGATGTTGTGTTTGGCTTCTCACTGTTATCTGGAGGCTACAACTTACATCTGTTGAGCCGCAGTATTTCCCAGAGGCCCCGTGAACCTCAGCCAGTGTGTAGATAGTCATCTCCAGTAGGAGCAGGGCCGCCAGCAACAACATGTATTATTCATTCACGCGTGAGCTCCGGTGCACGGCTGCGGTCCGACTGATGGAACGGGTTCGCGCAGATTTAATCTATCTCTGTGTGTTTAACGTCCTCCAAACTGCAACAGATTTTTTCAGCTCCTAAAATGGTGCGAACTTGAGGTTAAACTTCTGGTGTAACTGATATTTAAAGAAAGAGGGAGTATATTTATTGCATCTAATTTAATCCCATTCATTAAATATGGCACAAGTTTAGTATTCTCATGCATGGAAATTTGGCCTCAAGCACAACCGTTTCTATCACACACAAAAGTGAATTAGATTGGATCACCCCTGCAGCAGCCAATCAGCTCTCAGCCCAAACATTCCCTTGGAGCGTCTCTACAAGCATGTACTAGCAAATCGATTAAGACAATGGGGAGCTGACAATTCTGTATACAAAAATAAATACATCTGTGTTCAATATGTATTTTGTAGAAAAACAAAGACTTTGCTTTATATAAGAAACATAAAAAGCAGTCTGTTTTAGTTTATTGGAAACATTTCAGCCAGTTTGCAGGTGGTATGGCTGCTGCCCGGCAACTGTCTAATTACAAGCCACATACAAAACCGGTTTACAACATGGCACATTTGACTGTATTGAGGGTCTTAGTATAATGTACTGTACAAATGTAGCAGCTCAGACTAATTGAGGAAATGTTCTTTTACATGAGAGATACATCAAGCTTTTATTTCACAGATTTTGGTCACCCAATGTTGGTTTGTTTTCACTCAGGGAAGGCAGCAAACACAAACTACACCAAAATACAATATACATACAAAAAAGTAATCAATCAATCATTTTTAGTATTATAGGCATACGTGGTGAGTATAGTTTTACCTATAATATAGAAAAAACACACACAAAACCTTTTTTGTGTGTGAAATTGTCAAATAAAGTTAAAATCAAACGACTTTACTCTCTATTCTGATTTGATTCAAGTTGCGTCTTTTTATGTAATCCGTCAAAAATGTGATGAAAGTGATTGGATTTTTGTATATAGAGAGCAACAAACCCAGGCTTTTCAAAACTCTGAAAAACACATGATTTTAACTGAGGCGTTTGTGCAGCAGCAGACGAGTCCCCACAGGAGGATTTGCTCAGCTCTTTTTGATCATCTTGTTGACAGAGGTGAAGGCCTGGTTCAAACCTAACCCTCTCTGGCCAGAACACGCTTGGATCTGCCACAGCCGGTCTTCCAACACCGTCAAGTTCAGCTGGTTTGAGATCTCCCTGATGGTCATTGAATTTGGCAAGTCCTTTTTATTGGCTAACACCATGAGCGGAACCCCTTTAACTTTCTCCTCGCTCAAAACTCGCTTGAGAGCTTCGGCTGCCTCTGGTAACCTCTCCTTATCTGTACTGTCCACCACAAACACCAACGCCTTGACGTCGTCCATGTAGTATTTCCAGTTTTTTCTCAAAGTCTTCTGGCCTCCAATGTCCCATAAGGTGAGGCTGTTCTTTTTGTCCAAATCTAAGGTGCCGACGTTAAATCCGATGGTAGGGGAGGTGTCCATGGTGTGTCCGGTGAGGACTTGGGTCAGTAGGGTTGTCTTTCCGGAGGAGTCCAGCCCCATGATGAGAACTTGGGGTGTTCGAGAGCTGTGGCCCAGTCCCATGGTGTACTTCTAGTGTGGTGTGAGCTCGTCGAGTGAGGATCAAGGAAAGAGGTTTTGTCACATGGCCAAAACAGGAGGAGGCGTCCAATGAGAAAGCAGCGTCTGAACCTGTCGGACCAGTCTGTAGGTATTCCACCCGCATGGACGCTGACTCACAAACACACACACACGGGTACACACACACACACACACACACACACCCTCGCAACTCATAGGGACCAAAAATTGTAAACAAAAAAAATGTCAAGACAGGGTCTCTTGGTGTTTTCACTTTCAATTCAACCTCGTTGGCTACCTACTTTTGTTTATGTTTTTTTTTTACAACTTAACAGGCCCAGAAACAATGCTTCAGATTCATTAGAGATTGTCTACCTTTCACCGGAGCTAATATCTTCCTACACGCAGTGATTCTCTCTCAAATCAGTTTCAATCACATGCTGGTGCCAGGCCGCAATGTAAACAGTAAGAATGCGCTGCAACACGGCCATAACAATATTGGACAACAATCCAATAAGAACAGAGACAAAATTTTCTTAGTTATGATAATTTTATTGAATTTTGTATTTGTAAATTATTGCTTATTATTATTGTTTATTATTGTCCTGAGTGCGTCCATCACACAAGGCTCCAATGGAAATGTGAAGGTGCCCCTCAGGAGACCTACATTAAGAATGTCAGTGTCCTCCGTCCAGGGGTCAAAGCTCCGTCCCAAGCTTAAACTGAACTCAGATTGTGCTGGTTTAAACACAAACTGAAATGTTTTTATTTATCTTTTCAAACAAACCAGTTGTGTGAGCATCAATAAGTTGGGGGACACCTGCCTTTGTAGAATGTGAATGTGACAATGTAACCACGTGTCCTTTTCATATACATCACTACATAAAACAATAAAACACAATACATGCATACATACATATACACACATTTATATTAAGAGGAAACAAGGAGTCCGTCTGTGTTGTATCATTTATCAACCCATTTTGCAACATGTGTTAATGTATATTTGTGAAATACAGTAGATTACAGTAGATTAGAATATAGTTTAAACATTGATGGCATCCTGGAATATAGAAAGTAATTCGCTTTTATAGATAAATCTGAAATAGTGAGATGGAATCATGTTGATTAATTAAAAAACAAAATATATATCATACATCTCTGTTGTCCAAAGCGAATGTTCCACCCTGTCACATCAGTTTCACATTTGCTGGTGACATGGGCCTCCTGTTAGCGCACTGATGTCACGGTGAGAGTCTGCCAGTGCATTACCACGGCCACAGTGTCAACATTAGCAGACGTGTTTATCCTCCTCACATCATTACATTATCGCTGGTGAAAGACTTACCACCTCATGCTAAAGAAACTGCAGCGCTTTGCAATGGTAAATGTAGCGTTGGAAAGAACATTATACTATGTAAGGCAGGAAAAGCAGGTTTTTTTGTATAGCACCGTTCATGCGCAAGGCAACTCAAAGTGCTCAAACAAACAAGATAGAAACAATACGAGGCATTCAAATCATAAATAATTCATCAGGTGTATGCACAGCTATAAACAGAACTTTTTTTAACCTGGATGTGAAGATTGTCAGAGAAGAAGCCTGTCTCACATTTTCAGGAAGACTGTTTCAGATTTTAGCTGCATAAATCTGAAACGCTGTCTCCCCATGTTTAGTTATGACTCGGGGCACTTGCAGGTGGCCAGTCCAGAGTTCGAGTTGGTTCATATGGCACTAAGTACGCAAACAATATAGGTTTACCAGTTAAACAGCCGATTCATTATGTATTTGTCACTTTTCAGATGGTAGGTGTGTTTTACATGTATTGTTTTTGGGCCCCCGCCAATTAGCTAATGCAGCTTTGGGAGTTTGCTTTTACAAAACACCTACACAATTTACAAATAGACGGTGTATGACTTTTATGACTATGTAGTTTTGTAAAAAAGACATTTGAATTGAATTGGTCTACCACTCACTAGCCACAAGTTATTATTGAAGTAACATTGAATGCAAGAAATAGAGACCCTTTTGATCTAAAACTGACCAACAGTAAAACCAAATTCCCTCAGGTTGACACCATGACTGAAGCAATCACAACCAGTCCACTCTCTGTCCACAAGTACCAAAAGTCAGGACACACACTCACGGTGAGGCGTCTTTCCAACACTACGGCCCCCGTCTCTGGAACAGTCTGCCGGAGGAGCTCAGGGTCGCAGAGAACATTCATATTTTTAAAGCCAGGCTCAAGACACACCTTTTTAGATTAGCTTTTGATTAGTATTTATTAGTCCATTTTTATATATTCTATTTATCCTTTATTATTTATTATATTGCTATTGCTTTTATTCATGTTTTGTGTGATAGTTCCTTTCAGGCTCACATTTTAGTGTTTTACTTATTGTATTGTTTTTAAGTATCCCCAGTGTTTCTTCTGGAGGAGCCCTCTGCGCTGGGAGCGGTGGTTGGCTGTGGCTGTGGGGGTCGGACTCTTGGACCTGGTGGGGGCCCGGGGCCTCGGTTTTGGGTCCCCTCTGGGTCCTGTGTCGTCCCCTTTGGCTATGGGCGGCTCTCTGCTCCTGGCGCTGACGGCTCTTTGGATGGCGTTTCTTCAGCCGGTTGCATCTGAACCCTGCCAAGTCTCTTATCATCGTTTTATTGTTTTATCGGTGTGTGTGTGCGCGTGTGTGTGTGGGGGGGGGAGGGCATGGGCAGGATTGTTTTTTAGCCAAACTGTAAAGCACTTTGTGTTGCATCTGTTGTATGAAAAAGCGCTTTATAAATAAACTTTGATTGATTGATTGATTGATAAGTGCTCCCTTGTAATATTGCACATAATCTATAGTAAATCTAATTGCTTCCATCTTTGCCTATCGAGAGCTGTGTGAACAACGATCGCTCTTGGCTTGGGGTTAGGAGGATTATGTTTCCACACAGACAGCAGGTTAATCCACAGGGCATTGTGCAAATCAAATTATTCAATCGAGTTATTTCCCCCTTATGTAAACGTCACAGTAGCTTGCTTTGAGTGGAAAGGGAGAGTGAGCCGCTCGATTAGGCCTCTCCTCTCCACAGACCTGTGTGGGGTTTCTCAAGGGGGACGCAGGGGCGAGGGGGGCGAAGAGTTTGGGGGCCTCTGGTCCCTTGGTGTCAGGGAGAGAGGGAGCACGCTGAATATTTGAGTAGTGTCTGTGCAAAGGCCACCGTCATGTTTTAGTAATGCTCAACAGTGTCGGACATGTGGGGAGTGTGAAGCAGTGGAAGAAATGACGAAACAAAATATATTTATACTCTCTGTATGTAACCCCGGCTCAGTTTATATTGTACTTACCAAAATGTTCACAAAATTGGATCCATCAAAATAACTTGATAAATTGATATTGAACTGTAACAGCATTGGTATCCACAGGTATAGACTTAGGGCGAGAGTAGCTCAGTTGGTAGAGCATTGGCCTTTGGGCCTGAAGGTCTTGGGTTCGAGCCCACCGTAAGACCTACTTCACGACTCCCACTGATGACTGCTGTCGTTGTGTCCTTGGGCAAGACACTTAACCCTACTTTGCCCAAAGCCCCAACTGAAAGATCTCAGCTCCTGTGAACTCACCACCTGCAGGAGGATCAATGAGGGGCTGGTGCTCTGTGGACTGGGTGCAGCTCTAACCGCCACCCCCCCGACCCAGAAATGGATTAAGGGGAAGAAAATGGATGGATGGATGGAGGTATAGACTTCAATACAAGATCCATTCCAAAAGAATCATTAATTGCTTTTTGAAATTAAACATAGACCTATTCCTTTATTTCTTTTGAACTATTATAACACATTTTCATATTACAATGGATGGATAACTGTGTAGTTAATGTTTCTCATTTTGTAAGAAACACGATACATGAAAAATGTGTAACAAAGTAATTAACATTTGTGACTTTTTCTTGTAAGCGACCTGCTGATAGAAGCGATAACAGAGGTTTATGAACACAGTATCTGGTGAGATCGTTAAGCCTCATAAATATGAAGACACATATTTAATTACACTGATAATTGCTGTTGATCCAACAAGAGCAAGACGAGTGATTAGAATGAAAATGTGAGACAGATGACAGAGCTGGAAAAAGCCTCTTACGGCCAACATGCCAGTCAAGATTTTGTTTTCTTTTATGTCTTCAAACAAGGACGGTGCAGAGAAACACTGTCTTAGGACAGTCATGATCCGTGACATTTGAGAATGTTTATGGACATTGGTCATCCTGGATGTTGTTACGGGGGTAGGCGGGGTAAGTATAGGGAGTATATATACGCTTTTCGCTTCAGCCTTTTTAACATTTAATTTGCAATTTATTTTTGAGTTCGTGTAGTTTATGAATGATGTGAATGTGTTGTGAAGAAAATGACAATCGTCTTTCAGACAGAATACATTTTTTTTTGTCAGAATATTTTTTTTGTTGATGGTAGATGGTGTGATATTATACAGGGTGGAGGAATGGAGACCTCCAATCAGCATTTGCTACAGCACTGGCACCTTGGCCTTGAGATAACCAACAAGTAGAGGAAAAGTACTGCGCTGTGCATTGTTAGAATGATGAGTTTAACTTTAACCACAGTTGCTTCAAAGTGTCATGAAATTTCCAAAATGTTTTAAATGTTTTTTAACTGCTCAAAACAATAGATAAACACAATAAAATAAAATACATTATTATTGCATTTCCTGTGTTCTCTGATCTGTTGTTGAGGAACAACAGAGACAACTGCTCTGGGGACCCACTGTCACCGGAGGTTTGTGCTTGTGCTTCAGTTCTCACTGTGTCTCCTCCAGTTTCCTCCCTGTGCTCTGGTCTCTGCTTCCACTGAATGTAATAAGTTAATGAAAATGAATGGTAATAGTAGAGGGCGGCTTCCATGCGCTAATGTGCTACATGTTCTTTACACTCATCTTCACATGCTTGCTTGTTTGCCCTCTTTGTCTTATTAAAAGAACCTTAAAAGCTTTATAAACTATTGACTTCTGATAGT